AATTTATATGCTGATACTTAAATCCATTAAATTTCCATAAATTTAAATAAAATCATATAAATGCATAAAGTGGGTTCGTCGTGGCGAAGGTCGTTAACGCGTTGACTTTGTATGGACAGGGTCGCGCGTTTGATTCCCCGCTCTGGCCATCTGACATCGGGCAGCGCGATGTCCGTTTTCAATTGAAAATATAGATAAAAAATATGTTTCCAATTGAAAATAAGCCCATCTCGGGCACTGCGGTGTGAAATGGCAATGGGAAATCTCTCACACTATTCTTTCCTGAATCGAGTTGGAGTTTTAACTCAGCTCACGGACCTGCCCTAGGGCAGTACACACATAATTTATTTTCATTATTAAATGCATAATAATGCATTTTCATTATTAAATGCATAATAATGCATTTTCATTATTAAATGCATAAATGTTTATATATATTTATACAAAAGTGTATAACTCAATCACAAGATTATCTAATTATTCGCTATATCGAATAAATTTATTTAATTAAAAAATATCTAAATGAAAATAATCATAAAGTTTTATATAATTCACAAAAAATTGCAAGAATTTGCAAAAACTTATTTAAATTTATACAAAATTGCTAGACGTATGAAAAATCACATAAACTTACCCAAAGTTAAATACTCTTTATAAAATTACATTAAATTCAAGAAATTTAAACAAGACCACACGTTAATTAACAAATTAAAACTAATACTTTATTTTATAATTTCTATAATTTAGATAAAACCAATTCAACATCGTGAAACCAAAAAAAAAAACATAAACTGACATGTTTTATTACAAACTCTGTGCATCAAAAACTTTAACCAAAAAATGAACCTACGAACTCTCCAAACCAAAACCAAGAAACATAACCTCCAAAATTAAAACCCTCAGTGTTATGATCCAACCCCAACCATGATAAACCGTAAACCATACCACCAGAGCAATCATTCACCAAATTCTGCACCAAAGCATTACGCAGAACGCCCTTGGCCACCAACATATAAACAGGACACACCTTTGTACCCAACCAAGAACCAAACTAAACATGAAGCCTTGAGCAGGAACCATTATGGACCAGACACACCTTTGTACCCAACCAAGAACCATAATGTACCAAGCAGGAACCATTATGGATCAGATACACCTGTGTACAATGGTGGTAACTATGGTCTGGTCAACCATCGTCCGTTTTCCTTAAGAAACCACCAGTATGGTAAAAACCAACAGCACCAGAAGTTGCAGTATTGGTCCAAAAACACTGTGCACAAAGAAAGAACTGATTATGGGTACGTCTCCTACCAGAATGGTGACTGCAAAGGTAGAGACTACTATTACTTAGAAGCTCCTCCCAAGAAACCTTTTGGATTCTTCAATTCCAAGTCCAAACGCAACTCCTTGGCTTCATCCAGGGATGACTCTAACTTCGCCAACGATTGTCCTTGTTCCAGGTCTCGTTCTGTTGATGACCTAACTGCTGAGGATGAGAATGGTAACGCTTCTTCCCTCACCATAATGGTGATCTTCATGCCAAGGGAGGTTGGATGTTGGCACTAAGACAGATTAATGGGTCATCTTGAACAATTTGTTTGCTTATTTAGAAGTTGGATGTTGTTCTGATTTGTGAACTGACTGTTTGTCTATGGTTTGTTGCTGAATGATTGTCCTGGTGGAAGTTCCCTCCACCTCCGCCGAGTGTGACGAATCAGATGAGGATTTTTGGGAATGGGTTCAGGGGGAGTGTTGGTGGTGCGGTTGCAGGAGCTAGGAGGTCTGGATTCTTCCAGGTAGATGGAAATATATGTAGTTTTTTATAAACAACGTTTGATAAATTATGTCTTTAAACAGAGAAAGAAAATGATTTTGTGTAATTTTTGTAGTATTCACAAATTATTGAAAACCATTTTAAATTTTCTATGTCTATTCAATTTTTTTGAAGTAAAACTTCTTTAGGCGCGACTAGGGTATAAATCCGTACAAATGCAACGGAAGTCCGTTACGCCCGAACTGTTCGTCATTCGCTCTCGATGAGATCATTTCTATAGGGGTCGATTGTGATTAGTCGTCGTGTATGTGAATAGAGTTCTGTCGTTGTATGCGTATCGGCATTAACGTTGTACGCGTACCGATATTGACAAGGAACTCGGCATAGATAAATAAACATTTCAAAGTTACATCGTAGTCAAAATCTTGATTTAATGAAAAATGTCTGAATCAGAAGAATATTTTACCCTGTTCCTTGAAAATAATAAAACAAATTAAACATTTGTGCCGTGTACTAAACTTAAGTTTATTGATTAGAAATTATTTCTATATTATTCGTAGTTTCTATAAATCTTTGAAGTTATTCAAATGGAAAATATTTTTTAGGCAAGACAGATATTACAGCTGTTCAAAGAATGAGATTATATCGCCAGCGAAAAAGTATGAAATGAATGTATGTTGATTTTAATTACATGAAGTTTTTCAAACACAATTATTTCATGATGAGTGAAGTTGCAAAAACAATATTTGTTTAGGCGTTGTTTAACGTAATTCACTGTGAACGAATATTATAGAATTTATTAATCAGCAATTACTTCATTTCTCTTTCTTACGGATATTATTTTCATGTAAATTTTATCCTATGCACTTTTATTTATTTAAATTTATATTATTATTTATCAATATTACTAGATGTTAATAATTTAACAGTTGTAATACTTATTGAAATTAAAAAAAAAACTTCATTTCTCTAATGAAGGTTCATTTCTAAATACTAATTACAATGACAAACCGATCATGTCATATTTGAATTATGTCTTTAATTACATTATTATTTTTAAATATTATACATATTTTCAATGCTATTATAAATATATAATTTATAATTTATCATTATATAAATGTGTATAATGGTTGACACTAATAAATATGTGCATCACGAGTGTTAGCAAATTACTAATAAGCATTATTCAAAATTGTTATGTGATGTATTTATTTCTACTTAAATGCCATCTTGTACAGTAGCAAATAAGTTTTACTTCAATCGCGTGTGAACCTTACGCGCACTTTTTTTTGTATTTTGTATATTCATATAACCTTAATTACCCACAAATGAGTGGTTAGGTGCGTAAAGACTTTTTAAGTGCATCTACGTATATACACTTTCTATTTCTGATTTTTTTTGTGTAATGATCTATTTTCTGGAATCTGGTGCAATGATATGTTGTTAGAAAGTTGCAAAATGCATTTGCCGGACATTCGTTTCAATTTAGCAACAACTGCAACAACTTTCTTGTTAGCAAAATCATACTTTGCATAAATGGAACAGATGTAAACTAGATCGGAAGATATTTATTTATTTATATATTTATTAACAATTGTTTGTTTTTATCTTTTTGTTTTAAAAAGAGACCTACATTAAGATTGTTTTGAATTTCCAGAGTGAGATTTGTTTTATCTTCAGATAAATCCTGATAAAACTAGTGGCACCTGCCTTACGGCAAATTGCTGGAACTTTCCTTACTAAAAGTCAAAATTTTCAACTAGTGGTGCATGGCACCGTGCCTTTAGGCAAATTGCTGGAACTTCCCGTTCCAAAAACATGAAAAGATGTGCAAAAATTTTCATTTTCGTTTTTTTGCTATTACTATAACTTACCTTACTTATAACATATTGGGTTTTTTAAAAATATAATGATGTTGCAATGAATCATCATAATATATATTTATCTATATATATATATATATATATATATATATATATATATATACATATATATAATTGTTAGTTTTATTATATATCGAATTATCGTTCGATTTCTCTCATGATGAGTGAAAGTGATTGCTGCAACGAATTAAGTCATTGTGAATTATTCATTTATCAATTAATTAATTTATATATTTTAAGAATTTCGCAAATGTCAATAAACTCTGAGAAATATATATAAAGAAATAATAAATCATAATTAGCAATTTCATAAATGAAATGTTTCCGAAATTTATGAGGCCTTTCTAAAAAATTATATAAATAAATTTCCAAATCATTTTTGTGAGGAAAGAAGAATTGTGACAATTTCTGAAAGAGGTCACAAACCGCATTTCCAAAACGTCGATAAATAATTTTTTAACTTCCAGTAGGGTAAGTTATTTTAATCGTCCAAAAATCGAAAGTGAACATTTTAGCATATCTTTACGTTTCAGAGGTTTCTGAACATTTTGGCATACCTTAGAAAAAAATGATGTGTGTGTTTATTTATGGATACAATTATTCGAATCGTTCAAAGAGCAATCGTTTCCTATTGATAGGGAGACGTGCTGAGTAGTTTTTGGCAAAAGTAGGTCCTCCCGTTTCGGAGATACGAAGCAAAGAGTGCAGAACCTGAAAATCGAGTTTTAAAAAAATAGAGCATCCGATTGATTCAAAAAACATTTAATTTGTAATGATGGGGAGCAGTCGTGATTAGTTTTTGGCAGAGACAGGTCTAGCCGTTTCGGAGTTGAGGAAAACATAACTAAGTCTGCAAAACATGGTAGTTTTTAAGGGTACAAAGCGTCCAAATTGAATGATTCAAAAACTTGTTTACATTTTAGTAATCTCTTAATTTGTGTTTTTTTGCAAGTTATGTGTGAATGATGTAATAAAATTGTGTAAATTTAATAAAATTTGATAGATAAATCTTTATATAAATATTGATATAAATTATGGCCGTTATATATATATATATATATATATATATATATATATATATAATGTGTGTTGCAAAATTCTTTGCAACGGTTCCGTCACGCTTATGGTCACCTTAAGTACCTTAACGGATATTATAAAAACGAGGAAATAAAAAACAAGGACAGGTTCAAGTATTGACAATTCAATATTGTTAACAAAACAAAACAATACTTTGTTTTTTTCGTTAATTGTATGCAAGAAGGGCACCCAGAGGCGTACCATAATAATTACAATTCTTGGGAACCAAAAATAAATTGTGAATGGTCCGGCGTTTTATTCATGTAATTTATTTGTGACATCAATGCTGCAAGAAGAAGTTCCAAGTTTTTTTCTTAATTTTTGCATATTTCTACGTTTCACAGGTTTCTGAACATATTGGCATAACTTCGAAAAAATTGATGTGAGTTAAGCAAGAATTATTTCTATTAATTGATTTGTATACCTGACGATGACGTTTATTGTCTGGTCGTAACGTATGCGCCCTAATGTTTATGGAAGCGTAAAAAAATTATGTTCAGAACAGATGGAGTCATTAGACCGCGAAGTATTCAAATAACCGTTAATAAAATCGTTAGGTTATTTGCATTTACGGTTGTCCACTTACCAATGGACCTGTCTTCAGCAAAACACTTTATTCAACCAATCACCTACTTCCTTCTTAGCCGATTCTGCAATCACTGCAAAGAGACAAATTTGTAGTCGTCTATATTTGTAATTTCCTTAAAAAACAATATTTCTCATTTGTATTTGAGGTTAGAACTAACTTTTTATTCGCACCTGAAGATGACGATAAAGAACTGTCGAAACGTGTGCTTCCTAATGCTCATTTAAGTTTATAATCGTGAATTATCATTTTATTTAACTATTTTTTTCTTTTTCAGCCGATTCCCCAATCGCAGCACAGAGACCAGTCGCCCAATGCCCAAGTACATCCGGCCAGGACAACGAATCCAGTGGCTGACCAGTCACCAGCAACCAACAATGCCACCAATTCGCCAGGAACTGCCAATAGGCCGCGTTTCGTGGCGGTCACAACTCTGGAGGACGCCCAAGCTGTGAGATGCGCAGAGTTCCATCCCAATGGACGACTTTATGCAGTTGGATCGAATTCGAAAACTTTGAGGATCTGTGCTTATCCTTCTTTGAACGATGTCAGGTAAGGAGGAGATTGATTAAACTAATAAAATATCGTATAAGAAGGTTGAGAAGTAGGGAGAGATCAAGCAAGAATTGTCTGAAAATGCTGTAGATTGTCTGGTAATACTTTATTTTTTATCCCAGGGAGCAGCATTCAACGTATCAGCCCACTGTCCTATTCAAGAGGACGAAGCACCACAAGGGCAGCATCTATTGTCTGGCCTGGTCGCCAGCTGGTGATCTGATGGCTACGGGGTCCAATGATAAGACGGTGAAGTTGATGAGGTTCAATGCTGATACGGAGAATTTGGAAGGACAGGAGGTCGAGTTGACGATGCACGATGGTAAAATATTAGGCTTTTGGGGATTCTTATGGAATTTTATAGATTTACATTATTTTACTGAATTGTACATTATTTTACGGTTCCTGGTGCTACTCCTAAACCTAAAGATTTTTCCCTTTTCTAGGTACGGTGCGAGACTTGTGTTTCCTCGAAGACTCCACAAACAAATCAAGCCTATTAATTAGTGGGGGCGCCGGCGACTGCAAAATCTACGTCACCGACTGCGAAACAGGAACACCCTTCCAGGTAAATAGGCAATTAATCAATTAATTCATTATTTGTCTAATTAATTAATCATATATATTTTTCCTTAGGCTCTTAGTGGGCACACGGGCCACATTTTATCTCTGTACAATTGGGGTGGAGCCCTATTTGCCAGTGGCTCCCAGGACAGGACAGTTCGTTTCTGGGACTTGAGGACCAGGGGCTGCGTTAACACGGTGACGCCTGCTGCAGGACCCAGTGCCAGGGTAAGGGGGAAACAGGGCATTTGACCCAATTTACTGTTTTTAGTCGAAGAAACGAATTTGGAAGCATTTGGTTTTGCTGTACTGTATATATTTTTCATTTATCTATTTATTTCTTAGGGTTCTCCTGTGGCTGGTCTCTGCGTGGACCCAAGTGGAAGACTCCTGGTCTCTGGTCATGAAGACAGTTCTTGTGTTTTATATGACATCAGGGGTGATAGACCTGTACAATGTTTCAAACCTCATGCTTCTGATATTAGATCGATCAGGTTTTCGCCATCTGCTTACTATTTACTGACAGGAGGTTATGATAATAAATTGGTGCTCACCGATTTACAAGGTAAGAGATAAAGGATAGATGATATATGAACGTAGTCTTCAGATTGTAGATAATTATTTTATGGAGTTGCTGTAGGTTGTTATAGCATTAGGTAACTCAATACTGTTTTTTAGGTGATTTAACTATGCCTTTACCAAGTGTGGTAGTTGCCCAGCACAACGACAAAGTCATCTCAGGCCGATGGCATCCCACAGAGTTCTCCTTCTTGTCAACTTCTGCAGACAAAACGGCGACGCTGTGGGCGCTGCCACCATTGTAAAAAGTTTTAAAGAGAAAAACATACAAATGTGGAGACAAAATAGTTTGTAATAAAATATATACACTATATACATATATATTTATATTTAGAATTGTTTAAGTCATTATAAATGGACATACATATAAAATATGGTTGTCGGCGAAGAATTAAATTTTTCAACGAGGATATACCAATGCGTCGGATTAAAAATAACAATTTTTTATTCAAATATTGAAATCTCAATTTCTTTCGATTTGTGACCACTGGTGGGGGGGGAGTACTGTGGCAAATTACAGTCGACCATGTTTTTTAAGAAGTCTATAAAAGTTTATAAAATCTGAAAAAGAATCGCGATTATAGTCGAATCATTTTTTAGTAACTAGAAACCTAACAATGCAAGCATTACACGTATTTTTTTATACAAATATATTTAATTAGGTTTCTGGTCGTTATGGATAAACTAGACGTAAGTGGCATTATGATATGTGTAGTTTTTGGTAATGATTTATGAACCCAAAAATGACTTTATTACATCAAAAATGATTCAACCACAATCGCGATCTTTTTTCAGATTTTATAAACTTTTATAGACTTTCTATAAAACCTGTGGCAGACTATAAATTGCCACAGTACTCCCTCACCAGCAATTAGGTACTAGATCGAAAGGAGTTGAGATTTAGCTACTTCAATAAATAATTGGTATTTTTAATTCGACGAATTGGTTGTTTAATTAATGAAAGTAAATAGAGGATTAAAATTTTTGAACAAGGAAGGTATAAAGTTGATTTTTAAAATGTAGGTGACATATAGGTTAGTGTTTTATCGGGTTTTGTGAACACAGATTTTATTTGTGTCGATATATATATATATATATATATATATATATATATATATATATAGTTATATAATAATAATTACTACTTACTAATTTAAAAGTTAAGAGTCATTTCTTAATATTTTTTAAAGTCTTTAAAAGGTCCTTAATATGTATTTTTACGAATTTCTTTGCTCCCAGGGTCTCAAATGCTTCCAAAATGATAAAAGAAAATTCTCTGAAAGTTTTAGCTCTTAATATTAACTTTAAGATAGTCCGCACACAAGTCAAAGTTTCTTATGGGTAAAATTCCATTTGTTTTTCACAATTTTATAACTTAGAGACAAGTAAATCAAAATTTTGAGAATAACATTGTATTTGCTTATTTTGACCATCAATAAAAAAATGTACAATAAACATTTGATATAAGATAAATATTTACTTAGGAAGAAGAACCAAGAAACTTTGGTTTGAGTGCGGACTATCTTAAAGTTAATATTAAGAACAAAAACTTTCCATGAATTTTCTTTTATCTATTTGGAAGCATTTGAGATCCTGGGAGCAATGAAATTCAAATAGATCCATATTAAGGACCACCCTAATATCATTGAATCAAACCGAGTCAATATAAGTTGACACGCTTTGCCATTTTTATCTTTCAAAGACCGTTTTATTAATAAATACATAAATAAATACATATATTTATATATATATATATATATATATATATATATATATATATATATATATATATATATATATATATATATATATATGTGTGTTGTGTGTGTGTGTGTGTGTGTGTGCTCCTTGCCAATTCAAGTACTTGCCATTTAATTATTCATAATAAATTATCATTTTGTTATGGTATAGAATTTCCACGGATATATCAAAATGACCCACTACAGTTTGCTTTTCTTTTCTTTCACTTATTTCTAATTTCTGTCATTTATATTCTTTAATGAGCACGAATAAAATTATAATTAGATGTGAATGGAGAAAATGTATTTATGTTCGATATTTTGAAAATGAAAGTCTTTTGCTTTTGATGGATGGAATTGTATGCCGAAACGTAAGAAATTCACACATTTAAATTTGTAATTTTAACTCATGATTAATAAATGTTTTATTGTTAATAAATGAACACTTATTAAAGATAAGGCAATCAAAAATTATACAAAAAACATTAGATAACCAAAAAATTAACGGATACAATACAATACTATTTTATGTGAATTATTGGGTAGATCGGGGCTTAAAGGTCCGCAGGTAAAAAGGTCCACCACCGATATCTCAAAAACAAGTAAAGTTAAGAATTTTTTAACAAAAATATTTGAAAGTAGAGGGCAAAAGATGCTTAACCAGCCATCACCTTGATTTTAACAACGTCGGTATCAGAAGATAAACTGCAATGTTTGAAAATCCATAACAAAACTATTTTCTTTCGTTGTTAGCTTTTTTGGTCATGAGCACTGTTGTCTAGTTTACGAGACCTCAATATAATTTTTAAGTACACATTATTTAATTGTTTTATAAGATGTATTGCTAATTTTAAGTTAGATTCAACAGTTTTTTTTTATATAACCACTATAAAAGCTAACACCTGGGTGGGGTAAAAAGGACCAACTGAACCTTTACTCTGGCAAAGGTGTAATCAATAAAAAATATTAAATTAAGTTAAAAGACACAATTTTACAAGAGATAAATTAAATAAATAGTTATTCCAGCAGTACTGATGAATATTTCTGACAAAATACCAGATCAAGGTTATGTATAGTGTTGACCCTGTAAAAATGTACTCATGAAATTCATATTTTGCATTGGTTGAATAATGTAGCTATTATTTTGTAAACTCTCTTTAAAATTAAAAATAAAACACTGGACCTGTTTGCCCCCTGGCTATCCCATTTTACACCGCCTATGGGGTAAAAAGGGCCATTCCCACCTTGAGAATTAGCTGGGAATTTTACTGAACATAGTCAGATAGTTGTTTGTTTGATATGTTTTATTTGTTGTGATCTAATTGGTTTGGTTTTCAAGTTTCAAGGACCTTTGTGCCCCTACACGAAAATTTCTAAACAACCAATCAACTATCGGCGACAGATACTATATTTTTATATATATTGACACGTTTTTTAATTCACAAAACCCGATACAAAAATGCAACAAAAACGCTTTTTAAAATATATAATTATGAATATAAATCGTTAATATGAGAACAAAAATTAAAATATTGTTTATGAGCTTTTCTTCGACTTATTTGTATATATATAATATTAAATAATATATATTTTTAATATCGCTTCTTGGATATTAACGCTTTTGCTACATAGTTAAAAAAATATAATTATATTAATATATATAAATATATATATATATACATATATATATATATATATATATATATATATATATATGCTGTCTACTTATTGTTAAGGTTTCTCGTTAAATTAAGTTGTGTTAGCTCGATAAAACTCTGTTGCAATATTAATCGTTTAATTGTTTATATTTATAAATTAATTAATTAGTCAAATAAGTACTTCTCTATATCTACGTTACTATTATTATTATTATTATTATAAATAATATGAAGTATACTATCTTGCAATTTATTTAATCAATCGACTAAGTTTATGAATATTTTTATTATTATTAATAATTAAATATTAAATATTAATTATTAATAAAACAGTGTAATATATATGTTTCATAATATAAAGAAATGTAACCAATATTTATTTTTTGTTATCAACGGGCTAATTAGTAGGTGAAATATACCGTTGTTATAGCAACGCTATATTACGCTCCTTTCTTTATATAAATTGGTAGTAAAAACTGTCAAAATGCTACGTATTTGCAGTGCTGTCAGGCGTTTTAGATAAAAACCTAACCTACAAAACGCACGAACGTCAAAAAAATATGTAATGTTATTATAACTGCAACTTTCTGACATGCGTGAAGTTATTGTAATCGTCCAAAAATCGGAATTGAAAATTTTTACATTCCTTCACGTTTTGAAGGTTTCTGAATATTTTGGCATACCTCAGAAAAAATGTATGTGTATGTATGTATGTATGGATACAATTTTTTGTTCACGTTTTCGGGCGCACGGATCAACCGATTTGAATGGTTCAAAAAACATTCGCTTCCTGTTGATAGGGAGATGTGCTGATTAGTTTTTGGCAAAGGCAGGTCCAGCCGTTTCGAAGATATGGAGCAAAGAACGCAAAAAATACAAATCGAGATATTGAGAGAACGGAGTTTCCGATTGGAATGATCTAAAAAACATTCAATTTGTAATGATTAGGAGAAGAGGTGATTAGTTTTTGGCAAAGGCAGAGCCAGCCATTTCAAAGATACAGAGCTAAATGTGCAAAAAATAATAGTTTTTGAGAGAACTACGCGTCCAATTTGAATGATTCAAAAAACTTTCTGTTTGTCTAAACAAAATAATTGATTTTGGAAACAAAAAATTTTTGTTTCAACTTTTTTTTTCAATAAAAAAATTTTTGTATATCGAAAATAATTCAGATTTTAATTGTAGTTTTGACTGAAGTTCTAATATACTTCAAACATATAGCTTCAACTTTGCAATTCAGTTTATATAATACTTATAAATATTAGACAATGTTACAGTATTTATAATAAACTATTTGAAAACATTTAATATTCCTCGAACATTTCGTTTCGGTACGGGAAGTTCCAGCAATTTGCCTTAAAGCACGATGCCATACACCACTAGTTTAAATATCATTTGGAACAAATTTGTGCATTTCTCTCAACAATAACTTTTGAACCAATTGATTAATATATATTATTGATCAATTGCTTCAAAAGTTTCAAGGGATACAATAAATAAAAGTATAAATAGCTTGCTTAGCTAAACCCACTGTACTATTTATAGTAATTCTGGCTTAATAAGTTTTTAACAAATTTTAGCGCAAGTCAGATTTGTACAAAATTTGAATTTGAATTTACCGCCAAAAATGTTTCACCAAAACGTCATTTAAATCGGGTAACTTCACGTCGAATTCAAACTCAAATTAATTTTAGAATTAAACAGTAAGTCTGCATAAATGTTTTTATACTCGCCCAGCAAATATTGTCATTGTCATTAATAAATAGTGGTGTGTTTTTTTCGTGTTCATTCCTGAAATAATCATACAGTACTAGAAGATATTAGGATAATTATCACGAGCCTCGAAAAGGGGGTTCGATGTGAAAATTTGGCCGAAATCGGAGTCTTTTTCGATGGCGTCGAGGAAAGGATGACAGTTTGACAGGGGATAAGATAATAAGGTAATGGCGGATTATAATATTTATAATATAATTATGTTACCAAAGAATTATGCATAAATTTGTACGTATATTCTTTTATATTATATGTTAGTATTCAAATTCAATATTGGTAGATTTTTAACCCTTTCCACTCGCGAATTGCGAAATTTATATGTATTTTGGGGATCCAAATGAAAAGGGTCAAGTTATAAAATTATTGGTGTATTATTATAATTTTACTGTACATAGCCGATTGGTATACATATAAATAAATAAAAAAATAATGTTTTTAAATATCATACTTCGATCAATGTACAGTAAAAAAAATTATAGTGTGTGGAGACCCCATAGACCTTATAAAACATATTATAAGGTCTACGGGAGTCCCTCTTTATTGTAGAAGTTACTTTTGAATCGGAAATTAAAAACTCGTTTACTTTACTAACATTGCTTTAGTTTTTATTTATACCTTTGATTTACATTTTTTTTAATTTAATTTTTTTTTCAATTCCCTTTATATTTTTAAAATAATTTTTATGTTCTAATATATGTAATATAACAATTCGAATGTATTGTAAGACTTATATTTTACACTAACTTTAAATCTAGTATAAAACTATTGTTCAATTTTTTTCAAGTCATATATTATGTAATGTTTTTATTATATATTATATATATATATATTATATATATATATATATATATATATATATATATGATAAAGTTGTTCTTGCGCATCCATCCCAATAATTAAACAATTACTAGTGGGGCGCATGGCATCGTGACTTAAGGCAAATTGCTGGAACTTTCCGTACTAATAATTATTTTCTTTTAAAAGATTAACATTTTTGAAAAAATTCACTTTGAAAAAATTAGATTTTTGAGAAACTATAAAATATTGACAAAAATTTACCTTTTTGAAAAAAAGACTTTTTGAAAAAAATGTTTTCTTTATTTTGAAATATTTTGGAAATTCTGAACTTTTTTTCAAAGCAATCGTACTGCTTTAACTGCATAGAGACGAAATATCGAAGCGCGTAAGCGCCGCGTTGACGTCTAACGGATAAACATTGGTACGGAACCGATAGGAATGTAAACAAAATGTATACTTATTGTTAAAATCTCTATAAAATATCTGATAATTTGATGTGCATATGTCTAATGATCATTTTTGACCGCCAAATGGCATTTTTTTTGTACTTTTTTTTACTAGATCTCCGAAACCGCTAGAGCTGCCTTCATGAAAATTTGATCAATTATTCATCTTGTCAATACAAGTAAAATGTTTTTTGAATTATTAAAATCGGACGCTCCGTTCTCTTAAAAACTGAATTACCGTTTGTGGCACTTTTTGCCCCGTATCTTCGGAACGGCTAGATCTACTTATGCCAAAAACTAATCAGCACGTCTCCTTATCAACAGCAATCGAATGTTTTTTGAATAATCGAAATCGGTTGAACCGTGTTCCCGAAATCGTCGACGAAAATTTGTATCCGCACATACACACACACACATACATACACACACATACATCCATTTTTTCTAAGGTATGCCAAAATATTCAGAAACCTCTGAAACGTAAAGATATATAAAAATTTTCATTTTCGTTTTTTTTGCGATTACTATAACTTGCCCTATGGGAAGTTAAAAATGTGTATACATCACAGAATTTTGCACTAAAATTGATACAACCAATCAGTCAATAATCATGAATTTTTATAAATAGAAAAAATAATGTTCAGAAACCTCTGAAACGTATAGATATAAAAAAAATTCATTTGCGATTTTTTGAGATTACTTAAAACTAGAGACAACTTAAAAACTAGTTAAAAAAATCGAAAATGAAAATTTTTATATATCTTTATGTTTCAAAAGTTTCTGAACATTTTGGCATACTTTAGAAAAAATGAATTTATGTGTGTGTGTGTGTGTGCAGATACAAATTTTTATAGACGATTTCGGGAACACCATTTAACACATTTTAATTATTCAAAAAACATTCGATTCCTATTAATAAGGAAAAGTGCTGATTAGTTTTTGGCATAGGCAGGTCTAGCCGTTTCGAATTTTAATAAATCAAAAAACATTTTACTTGTATTGACAAGATGAAGAACTGATTTGGGAAGGCAGGTGTAGCAGTTATGGACTCTCAATAAAAATAAGTTAAAAAAATGTCATTTGGCGGTCAAAAATGTTTATTGGACTTATGTACATCAAATTATCAGATATTTTATAGAGATTTTAATAATGTGTACACATTTTGTGTAAATTTTTTTGGGTTCCATACCAAGATTTTTAATTACGGTACGGGAAGTTCCAGCAATTTGCCTTAAGGCATGATTTATTATCACTCTCTGGTGTGAATAAGCAGGTGCCTTTTCAGTGTGCCTCGCAGAATGAACGTTTTCTGGCATATTTCACATTTGTGTGGACGTTCCCCAGTGTGAACGAGCATATGATAATTCATATGACTCGATTTTAAATATGTCTTATCACATATTTCACATTTGTAGGGGCGTTCCCCAGTGTGAGCACGACCATGTTCTTTCAACAAATTCGAATTTGTGTATGACTTATCACATATTTTACATTGGTACTGGCGTTCCTTGTGAAGGAGCATATGTCTCTTGTAGCTATTCAAGTAGATGAATGTGACATCACATATTGTACATTTGTGGGGGCGTTCCCCACTATGGATACGCTCATGTTCTCTCAAATGACACAAATTTGTGTAGGTCTTATCACATGATTTACATTCATGGTGTTCTCTGCCTATGTGGATTTTCATATGTTTTTTCAGATCCTTTGGTAGTCTGAATGTTTTATCACATATTATACATTTGTGAGGCCGTTCATTCGTGTGCATGAGCATATGGCCTTTGAAGGCTGTTGAATCTAGGAATCCCTTATCACATAGTTCACATTTGTGTGGACGTTCCCCGGTGTGATGGTACATATGTCTTTTTAAGTAACTTGGTTTTTTGAATGCCTTTGGACATATTTTACATTCGTAAGGACATTCATCACTGTGAACAGACATATGTGAATACAAAGCACTCACTTGTCTGAATGCCTTATGACATATTTCACAACTGTGGGGGTACTCATCACTGTGAATGAACATGTGTTTCTTCATATCACTCGATTGCTTGAATTTCTTATTGCATACTTGACAAGTTCTCTTTCTAGCTTTTAGTTCTTCTTTATCAGTACAATTTGAAGGTCTGGCACAAGCATGTTGTTTTAAAAAATATTTTGATTTAAAACTTTCATTGCATCTTTTACATGCAAAAGATTTTTCATCTACTCTTGCATCTGCAGAAGTCTTACCCTTACCCTCATGATTTACCATATGCTGTTGTAAATACTGCAACTTTCTAAATGTTCTATCACACTTGTCACATTTATAGGGAGGACCTTGAATTGATTCCCATTGGACATCTTCTATCTTTACTATGGAGTTCATGAACCTCTGTAGACACGTTTCATCATCTTCTAAATGATTGGTTGATGATTCTTCCATTGGAAATTCTGGTGGTTCAATTTTAATTGTCGGATCATCAGCAGCTCCTGACATTTTGAGATATTTGGGCACTCAGTATGCTCTGTAAGTATTGACAAAAGTTAGTATTTAATAAACTATTGCTAAATATGATAATTAACTACCCGAAGGAGAAGTTTATATTTTCAGCAAAAAATCTGATTCGCTAATTTTATGTTTTCTCGACGTTTCAAGCTATTCTGAATCAAATAAAAATTTGTCAATGTTTGCAAAAGTTGTGTGTGTGTGTGTGAGTGTATGTGAACAGATTTTTTCCGTAAAAGGACGTTTTCTCAAAAACGGCTGGACCGATTTCAAAAAATTTCAAAGCCATACGGTGTATCTCGATGAGGACTATTATTTATCAATTTCGCGCGACGATCAGCCAAGCCGCTTCTTTGTAAATAGCAGAAAAGTGAAAATTTTTTCGTCTACGTTTTAGCCCGCAATTCTGAATCGATTGTTTGAAAATTCAAAAATCGTTAGAAAGATATTGGTTGGGAATCGTGCTGATTAGTTTTTGGTAAAGATCGGCCGGGCCGTTTTCTTATAATAAAGTGTTCCAAAAAAAAAATCGACAATTTTTATGATTTTTTTTTTTAATGGTAGATACCATAGTCTTATAGATCATACTAAAATATTACGGACCTTAGACAAGTCGTTTATTTCTAAAAATTCCTCAAAGTTTGCAAAAATTAGTATCGTTTTTTTGGCATTTGTCAAAATTAGACCTTTGATCGACGTTTGCTCAAAAACGCCTGAGCTGATTTAGAAATTTAAAAACCATTTGATGTATCTCGATGAGGATTATCGTTTGTGCGACGATCTGCTGAGCCGTTTCTTTGTAATTTGGAAAAAAGTGTTAAACTTTTCATACACATTTAAGCTCATACTACCGAATCGATTTAAAAAAATCAAAAACTGTTTGAAAGATATTAGTTGGGAATGATACTGATTAGTTTTAGTTGAAATCTTTTCTTGTAATTAACTGTTGAAAAAAAAAATTAAGCAGATTTTCATGGAACTTTTTTTTGGCAATGTATATCATGGCCTTATAGAACTTAATGAAATATTACAGCCTTAGTAGTACAATTGTGAAAATTGATCAAAGTTTGAGAAAATGAGTAGTTTTTTTAAATTAAAATTAGACGATTTACTTGGTGTTCATGCCAAAATCAAAACATGCCATATATTGATATAAAAACAAAAGATATCTAATAAAAAATCAATATAAAATCAATCAATATAATAAATTAAAAACTTTGAAAACATTGTAAATACAAATACAATTTGCAGTTAATTTAAAATAAACACATAATATTACAATTAAAGTGTTTTACAAATCATTGGTCCTTTGAAAAATCAATCAAACCAAACACTTGGTATAACAATAGAGTACTTGGTCTTATAAGCCTACTAAACCATGAAAGTCCTATGGTTCAATTATAGAAATTATTGATTTTTGAAAATTTGCTTTTAGAAAATACTCCGAGTTAATGTGTTCTTTAACTTATTAAATTATGTGTAATAAATGCACTCGGAATCACTCAAATAATTTATATTTTTATTAAGTTGTATATTGAAGTATACTTCTACAAGTAAGTATATTGAAAAAGTTCATGTAACTTGCCTCAAGGCAAAATTAGTTTAACTAGTTGTTGACAGTTGAAGAATCGAGTATGTTTTAGAAAGGCAATACATTTATCCACCCCCCCCCAATATTTTACAGGAGTGTATAAATCAATCTCTAGGCTTCCTTAATGGTGGGATTTATTTCTTAAGCTAGTTTTCACTTTAAATCTATTCTTACATTGAATTAATTGTGGTCTGTTTTGGATAATGTATGTCGCCAAAATGGCCCCTTCCTCAAAATCTATTTGACAGATGTGAAACTATTTGTTCCAAACTTTTGGCTTATTGCAGAGCTGAAATATACAAAAGTACAATTGAGCTTTAATTATCCATTGCCTACCTATATTTAAAATTAAATATTTATAGTTCTTTCTGTATAAAATAAACATAATGACAAATTAACCTAGTGACATAACCTCAAAGTATTTTACACTACCTTTATGTTTATCAATCAATCTCACAATCACTGCACTTTAATACACACTGATAATTATACTTAATTATTTATATAATATATTTATTATTAGATTTAATTTATAATTTTGCACAGTAATTAAATAAATAAATAATAAAATCAACTATCAGCGCGCCTAAATAATACGTTTACGTTTGACAGTTAAGTGAACTTGGCGCCACAACGGTACACAGTTTTATTGTTGCCAACATAAAGAATATTATTTCGGCTAGGGTTGCCAATATAACTATTTGAAGTTAGAGCATAGATCAGGGCATCTTAAATTTTTTTCATTTGCGACCCTATTTATAACTGCGAGTTTCTTGACGATCCCAGGCAAATATAAAAAAAAAGAAATTATTATTTTAATGATTATTAGGAAACCACTTATATAGGGGCCGTTCAAGTATTACGTAAGCAGATTTATTACAATAATGCTGTGTTTTTATTAAAAATAACAATTGCATACATAGCTATCAACAAAAATCAATGTTTATTAAGAAATTAACACTTCATTATGTATGTATATACTAGAGATGGGCTTATTATATCCGAAGCCGGATCGACTCGGATTTGACTCCGCTTCAGGGAGGAATTATATCCGCTTAACAACTTCACAACTCCGACAACTTTGAAACCGAAATACTCGACACAAATGTGTTCTATAGTGCGTTGTTTGAAAATAATTGATTTTTTGATTAATTTTATATAGAAATAATATAGTAAGCTTTGTAATAAAAGCAAAACATTTATCATAAAATATTTTTACCAAATAATAATACTTCAGCTCCCTAATTTTTTTTTCTGCTATTTCCATTCGAGAATTAATATTCTATCGGGTAGTTCGATTAGCATATTATTACTTTTACACAATTCTATAATTGTGAAAAAGTTAAATTTTAATACTATATATTTTTGCTGCTTAAATACTATTGACGTCGCTAATATATTTTGCACTATATAGTATTGTTATTTCAGGCTATGGAAAAACCAGATTAAATGCGTATTTTTCGGTATGTATATTCCTGATTGCCGTCATTCACGGCCAAAGATTGTCGTAGTTAGAAATATGAACCCTTACTAAATTATACATTGGAGCTATTCACACTTGAACACAATTTCATTGTTCTATATCTTTGAAGTAATGTTTTTGTATTTTCTGAAAAAAAAACCCGTAAACCTAAAAGGTCATAAAACTGCCTGTGAGACGAGAAAGCGTCAGTTTCCTTCCCAAAGCAAAACCGCAGTAACAGATTTAGTACCAGTTTAGGGAAGTCGGATATGACAAATCCGGTGAGACAACTCCCCTCGGATTCACTCCGAGGGAACAGTTGTATCGGAGTGATAACTCCGGAGTGAGTTACTCATCTCTAGTATATACATATTTTCTATTACATACATATACTAAAGTGCAGCATTAAGCATGCTAAAATTCGAATTGTAGGTATGTACCATACTCTTCTTTTATCTATGGTATGTACATACATATAAATTGGTTGCGGTTGATAGTCTGGATAATCGCGAATCCGTATAACCGAGGTCCGGATGATCGAGGTTCTACTGTAAATAGTTTTAGAATTCGTTGTAAACAACAAAAATCTATAGACGTGACGTATATATATTTTTGCCATAGGCCTTATATTACATGGACTACTAGTTAAGCGCAAAATAAGTGCTCCAACATAGATGGATATGTGACATGTCACATGTCTAAGCGAACATAGCCGACGACAATCGCGGACTCTCCAGATTGATTAAATGTCACATGTCATATGTTTTATTAACTTTACGTAAGGTAGTTATAGTAATCGTAAAAAAACGAAAATGAAAATTTTTATATATCTCTACGTTTTAGAGGTTTCTGATCATTTTGGCATACCTTAGAAAAAATAAAATGGATGTGTGTGTGTATGTATGTGCGATACAAATTTTTGTCGACGATTTTGGCACACCGATCAACCGATTTGAATAATTCATATAAAAAAGTACATTTACCACCTGTGCAGTAGTTGTGTCCGTCACATTGGGCTTAGTCAGTCCCCATCTTATGTAGGTTAGGTATCAATGTTGTTTTTAGTACCATTGTCGCTCGGACTATGTACGCGCGTTTGGACTTGTAAAAATATACATTTGCACATTTACACATACATATATATGCATATATTGTATGTATATTATATAGCACAGTTATCTTTTGCAAGTGTGTCCCATCGTAAAGTTACGCAGTAACATAGCATTGAAGTTTGAGATAACTATTTTATAATTTATATTTAAAAAACCAGCCTATATATAATAATAATAATAAATGGTAGTCTGTCCGAAGGCAGGTCCATGATGTGAGAGCCACCACAAATAAATGATTCTCTTACCCCTCTTTGTCAATGATTCCCATTACCCCTATTCCTACCCACCACCCCCTTTATTTTACTCACTTCTTTCACGTAATTTCCTTTCCAAACTCGTGATTTAATGCTTCTTGATCCTGCGCTTCAACTTTCAGTTTCTTGTATTTTCTCTTTTTGTTAAGTCGTCAATCGTCTGCATTCTTCTTCTTCCCATTCCTTTCAGTTCTTCTATTTTACCCTCGAGGACGTCGTGCAGGAGGCAAAAAAATCGTATTAATCGTGTAATATGTATATAGTGTTGTAAAAAATACAAAAATGAATGTCAGTATTTATTTTTGACGTTTCGGAACTAGTTGCATTCCACAATCTGGCTTTCTACTAAAAACAAATAGGTATGTACACCAAAAATATATTTTATAATTTTTGTTCTAAACTAATTAGACTAAATAAATTGTAAATTAATTCAATTAAACCATTTCGGACCCCAGGCCTTGGTTTTGTAACCACTGTTACTAAAAAAAACTATCAAAAAACGTACATCTAAAATTAGTAGAGTAAATGAAGCGTATATAAATATACAAAAAGGTTTCAATGATAAATGTTGAAGTTTGACAAACCAACAAATCCCAAAAAAAAGTTTGTTTTTACCAGAAATTCCAATTTGCTAATTTTATGTTTGCTCGACGTTCCAAGTCATTCTCAATCGTTTGACACCAAAAATGGGATAAGTATGTGTATGGAAAAGAAAATTTGCATTTAGTCAATGTTTTTGCAAACACGTCTGCACCGCGATTTCAAAAATTTTAATTCATCGATATGATTTTTATAAGTTTTAACGTTGATTAGTTTTGCGAGACGATCGGCCGAGCCGTTTCTTTGTGTTAAAACTTTTGTCAACGTTTTTGCCGAAATTCCTGAACCGATTTTGAAAACTCAAAAACCGTTTGAAAGATATTAACTGGATGTAGTGCTAATTAGATTTTTATGAAGAATGGTCGAGCCGTTTCTTCATAATAAATTGTTGATATTTTTGTTGACGATTTTGATGAAATTTTTCTTCAGAATTTAGGCACATTCTATAAATAGCTAAATCTTCATTATTACTGATTATGTAAATTATTTACACGTATCGAAAAGTTAATGCAGCTTGCCTTAAGGCCAAATGCCACCTAATTCTACTTAAATTTATATTTAAGTCTAATAAAGTTTTACTTCAAATAATATAAGTTGCATATTTCATGGCATATGTTCATAGCTCATTGAGTCGATTATTTTCACATGTAGGGAAGTTCATGCAATTTGTCTTGAGGCAAATCGTCTCTTACATCTAGTTAAGTTAGTCTAATGAAGTTTTACTTCAAAAATTTCAAGTTGTATCTTTCATATGTTTGTGGGGTGTCCTTTGAAAGTTCTTTTTTAATAGAACACGAATATTCTAATAATACTTTAATTTTAGCTTTTATTTTCACATAATCTGGCAAAAGTGTTTTTTGCATTTTAATGTCCTACAGCGATTCGGTATACTTATAAATCATTCATAAATTAATTTATATTGATTATTTATACATATTGGTTGATATAACTTTTCTAAAGGAAAAAACACTCTCCTACACTTGTTAGTATGTAACTTTAAATTTGAGAAATCTAAAGAAGTTTTACTTCAAAATTTTTAAGTTGTATTTATTATAGCATGTGGGGTAGCGTTTAAAAGGTCTTTTTGAGTACAATACGAATATCTGGATTTCTCATTGAACAAGTCATTTATTTATATTTAAAACAAGTTTAACTCAAAAAATACCCTTAGTAATTTTATATTTATGTCTAGTAAAGTTTTACTTCGAAATTTTATATAATGTTTTTATGGCATGTGAGGTATCGTCTGAAAGGTCTTTTAAATAGAATACGAATACTGAAATGAAAATTTGAATTTTGCATGTTTATTCAAGCAACCTGCAAAAGTAGCTATTACTTATAGTAATTTTTAATTTAAGTCTAAAGAAGTTCTACTTCAAATTTTAAAGTTGTATCTTTTATTACTTATGGGGTATCGTAAACAAAAACATTAAAATAGTAAAATGTATAACTGAAAGTTATACTGAATGAATTAAAATACTAAAATTAAATGATGAGCAGTGAAGAAGTTTTACTTCAAAATTTTTTATTGTATTTTTGTGGCATGTGAGATATCGTTTGAAAGGTCTTTTTGAATAGAATACGAATACTAAAATAAAAATTCGAATTTTGCATATTTTATTCAAGCAAAAAGTAAAAATCAGTTACAATATCAAATCTATCTTGCCTTAAGGTCAATCGCCACTTACACCTAATATCAAGAAATCTTACAGCAACTCTGCTAAATAAATGACTCATAAAAGATATCTTTATTTCTTATTGAACAAGTCAATTATTTACATTCAAAGAGTAGTAATTTTAAATTTGTCTAAAGAAGTTTTACTTCAAATTTTTTTATTGTATTTTTATGACATGTGAGGTATCGTTAGAAAGGTCTTCTCCAGTAGAACACGAATATCAAATCCAATTTCATCCATTTTCCCTTAAGGTGAAAAGCCACTCACACCTAGTTCTTTTCCTCCCGATTTCTCTTCGGTAAGCTTCGTTGACTCGACTATCTTCGTCTTCGTCCGACCACGTGTGTGTCGGAACAAAACTCGCTTTTCATCATTCAGTCTCATTTCATAACTCATTTCGTTTGCACGTTTGTTTAAAATATTAATAATAATAAAATTCAATTCGTTTTGAATTGTTTAAACAATTAAATGGATTGTTTAAA